AACAAAAGACTCCTAAACAATGAGTGGGTCAAAGGAGAAATTAAGAAAGAAATAAAAGAATTCCTGGAATTTGATGAAAAGGACAAGACAACATAACACAACCTCTGGGATACATTAAAAGCTGTCCTAAGAGGGAAATTTATAGCTCTAAGTGCCTACATTAAAAAATTGGAAAGAGCCCAAATAAATGACCTAACATTGCAACTCAAGACACTGGAAGGGCAAGAACAAATGAAACCCAAACCCAGCAGAAGAGAAATAACAAAAATCAGAGCAGAAATTAGTGACTAGAAACAAAAACAATACAAGAATCAAGGAATCTAAGAGCTGGTTCTTTGAAAAGCTAAACAAGATAGACAGACCCTTAGCCCAGTTAACCAAAAGAATGAAAGAGCAAATCTAAATCAACAAAATCAGAGATGAAAGGGGAAACATCACAACAGACAACTAAAATATCTGAACCATTATAAGGGAATACTTTAAAAACCTATATGCTACTAAATCTAAAAGTCTAAAAGAAATGGATGGATATCTGAAAACATTGGAACCTCCAAAGTTAAACCAAGAAGAGAAATTGAAACAGTGATACAAAGCCTCCCAACTAAAAAAAGCCCAGGCCCGGTTGGATTTACAGCAGAATTCTACTAGACATTTAAAGAAGACCTCTAACTAATACTGCTTAAATTATTCAAATGATAGAAACAGAGGGACAACTCCCAAATTCTTTTTATGAAGCTAGCATCACTCTAATACCAAAACCAGGTAAAGACACAACCAAAAAAGCCCAGGCCCAGATGGATTTACAGTAGATTTCTACTAGACATTTAAAGAAGACCTCCAACCAATACTACTTAAATTATTCAAAATCACATCAAAAAGATCATTCACCATGTTGAAGTAGGCTTTATCCCAGAGATGCAGGGATGGTTCAGTATATGTAACTCAATAAACGTCATAAATCATATACGTGGACTCAAACACAAAAACCACATTGTCAATAGATTCAGAAAAGGCTTCTGGACAAAATTCAGCATGCATTTATGTTCAAAGTCCTAGAGGGAATTGGAC